ACATATCTTCACAATAGGAGAGCGCTGACGCTGACAAGGGACAAGTGTAGAAATTTTTGAAGGAGAGAAAGGAGTATGACAATCAAGGAGGCCATAAACGCGCGCTACAATTGTAGGGACGACTAACGATACGGGCCTTAGAACACCCCAACAACATAGTCTATCATTTACAACACCCAAAGATCCACGAAGACAAACCCAAAATGCACTGTTAAAAAGCAAGTAAAGGCATATTTTGGTAGATAGTTCCACGTACCCTGAAAAACGTTAATTAAGCAACTTGATCTTGTATTTCCCACGCAAATATGTTACGAAGGAGGCTATCGGTGAGGGAGCCACGCTGACCCTGAACCATGAAAATATGGACGGCGGTGCTGGCTGGTCTGGCGTCCGCAAGGGGTATTGTGTAACTTAGAAACTGTCATTATATCTGTGTTTTGTCATTATGTCGAATTTTGATGACATTATGTAAGTTTATTATCACATTATGTAGGTCTTCCTACAAGACTTCAACCTGGAAGTAGCTGCTCACTTGTAGCAAGCGCGGAGTGAACTATTTGCACACTAGCCTACCTAGTCAACAAGTTGACATTTGTCGGTTTATTTGGAATTATATATTGTTTCCGTAATAGCTCTGACGGTGGGACAGACTGAACAGTCACCATCAGTCAATCGCGAGGCTACTGTTAATCCGTAGCGTGATTCAAACTTTCCGTTACATTAATTTTGATTATATCTCATCAAACTTCAGCTTTTTTTTGTTCATTTTATGTGGTTCTTGTATGCACACAATAAAGTTACTATGTGATGGGCAATTCAGTATAAATAAATATATAAATAAATATGTGTAACTCTGACTACCGGTGGCTGCTATATCTAACATGTTACCGATATCAGAAGTTTCTTGATAATACAAAGTATTCCACTGATACCAAAGATGCAATGTTCAGACCTCTTACCCCTGCAACCACCAATTTCCAAAAAAAAAACTGAAAATAAGCATTTTGTGTCTGAAACATCAAAAAAACAAATTTCAGATATTATAGCTCTCTCATGTTTTCCGTAGCTCCGCCGCCATTAATCAATTTTCAAAACCTACATAACGTTTTTGCCATTGACATAGATCCTTGCGTCAATATTTCATCAAAATTTGAACAGCACTTTCAAAGTAACAGCGAAGTCAACGATTACCGGACAGACGGACAGTCAGGCCTACAGAAATAAGCGACATACTCTTTAGTGATGTACATGTTATGTCACATCCAAAAAGTCGAAATTCCATCGCCAATTTGAGGAGAAAGTATTGTCATCGCGAATATTTTCGCAAATGAGTTCTTTGGGTGCCATATACGGACACGCTCATTACTACAATCTGTACTAGTTCTACAATGGTTCTAACTAAGTTAGGTTTCTTCTGAGTGCATCAATAACGATCTTCCACTGCGACTCTTTGGTCTATTGTAGCTCACTAATTATACTAGAAGCCGTTTCGTTTCGAAGGCGTGGGAACCTTAGAGTCAATCTACTCTACGCCAATTTTTTCACAGACAACAGAAAACCTTAAAGCACACTTATTAGATTCCGTGTAGTTGTTATGAAATGACACTTATTATTGGAAAGAACAGGGGTGTGCAATTTTTCAAAGACCCACGAGCTCAAATACTTCATATGATGAAAACGTCTACGTTCCGGACCCCAGTTTATACGTATATGGTCTTTCATTCATAATCTGCCTTTAAATTTTCTTGACAACATTCTGTAGCACCCTGTAGATGCGACTTGCCATCCTTGAAATGTAAACAGAAACAACTAATCCCAGTGTAACACCTGCGTTGAGATTATGGAACGAAGAGGAAGACATGAATCTCTCATGATATTACTGCACCTCCAATATACCTTAGATGCTTATACTGCACTTATAAACAAAGACATTGATTGATAGATTCTCTCCAATGATAAAGATTGTCTTCTGCAGGTGACCAGACCAATAAAAAATGCTGGACAGCATGTCAGTGTCCAACGCCCTGCCAAATCAATGGTTTGATGAATGATTTACAAAACACATCAATCGATACTTTATCCATTAGTGATCACGGTGATCAATTAATCAAAATCTGAGGAGAGAAAGTTTGGTAAATAAATAAGTTATTTTAGTAGCGGAACTTCTAGGTGCCAAAATGCATCACAAAAATGATTAACTTGTAAAACTGAGGTGGCAAGAAAGAGTGATACTATCATCAGCTATTTATATTGCCTGACGCAACGATACCTTGTAGTCATTTGTAATTTTGGAGTTAGCGAAAACAAGAATTTTGTATCTATTAGTGCAAATATGTATAGCGTTGTAAATAGTCTTCTCTTATTTGCATTTTATTGTTGTTTCCCACATACCAACGTGTGATTTATTGCGGATTTTGATCATTAAAAAGCCCTGGATACCGAGTGCTCGGTAGGTTTCCTATGGAATATTTCAAAAGCGGTGTAAATACTTGAAATAAAACGATTCCTAGCTCATAGTTGGTCAATAATTTTGAACTCAAGTGGGTACCTGTACAGTATTTTCAGAAACTGACAAAAATGTATACCGCTGCATGAATAGGGCTCTCGAATGACCTCCTAATTAAGTGTATGGTCCCCTTTAGTAAACCGTAAAACACCTGAGAACTTTTTTATGCTTTTCGATTTCAGACTAATATGTTGGTGATTTATTAAATTAGTGTACTAGAATATTTTAGTGATCGACTAAATGGTTTTATGTAACTCAGAACTTCTACCCGCCAACGCTTTCTATCAAATCGGGTTTACAAAGTTTCCTATTTATGTGGTGAACTAGACAACTGTGAACTGTTTCAAAAATAATTATGATAGGCACCGCAGTACGTACATATTGCTTTTCTTTTCTGTGTGTCTCCTCCAGAAGTGTTAATATTCTCTACTTGTGTATTGTATTTGTCTGTACACTGTCAAATATTATAGGTTTGAGTTTATATTATTTGTACTCAACTCAGTTTTATCCAAAAGCTACACAAAATTAGTCATGATTTCTCCAGGAATATAAATTAATTTACCTATATTTCATCAACTTTAGCCTCCGAAACTATATGATATCTAAGAGAATAGGTACTAATCACCATTATCTCTGTTTGAGTGGTACTCCATCAGATAAAAATTCGTCGTTCGAAAATAAAGTAATCTAGCAGATAATTGAAATATGTCCTATCCATAAAGCGTATCCTCGCTATCATAAAAAAAGGCAATTCTAGAATTGGATACAGCATTGGTATTCCGATACAATATAAATAGTAATCTTAGATAAGATGTGACCTACTTAACAAAACTGCGTATAAAGATAATGCCTCAAGATCGTATCTTCGTTTGGCAACTCGAATGGTTCACCTGCTGACCGTCTAATTAAAAAAATAGAGTCAAGTAGCTCGATCGCTTGACTGATATTCAGACACTCAATATTACTAATGATAAGTGAAATACTTGGTGAGCTGGTTTAAAATTTCTAGAGCCTCCTAAAGAAGTTTTATTTATGACCGAGCCACAAATTGAAATCTGAGACTAGGTTTTCCGGGCGTTAAGCACTACCTTTCAAGCCAAGCTCTTCCTTACGCCCTAGCGCGCCCGGCGAGTATATCTTTTGTGCCTCTTCCTACTGGAGATAGCGATGCTACAACAAATTCTTCTCGATTCTTAATTTCTCAATAAATGAAACGAACCTCTTTCCCCAGAATTTTGCCCATAATTATCAACTGTGCCTCGTACAAGGGAATATAAAAGATAATTGTCAGTCAGTTACCCATCCAACTTATATGGAATGTGTAAGTGGCGCCAATAATAAAGCAACCAAGTTTTGCAAGCATACGTGCAGCCATGTCAGTTTACTAATGCCATCTAAGATATAAAAGATGAACGGAATTTCATAGAATTACTTAAAAACAATGTTTTGTGTTAGCATCAGTTTCATGCGTACGAAATCGTGGATAACTTCTGGTGCAAAATAAAACGTATGTATCGCTTCACGGTCGGAAGCTGAATGGCCGGCCACGATGTTGCGCCCTGACGTTCACGGTGGAGATTTTAAAACTCAAGTTCGCAGATGAAACCATCCCTATAACGTTCTTCATACACCTATACATATATACCCTTACTCATTTTGGTCCGACCAGCGACTGAGCGCTGAACCCGTTTGAACTTTAACCCGTGAAATAGATATTTCAGTTATTTCCCGAACTAAAAAGTAGAATAAATGCTATTCTAGTTCTAATCTATCTCTGGACCAAATTTCATCTAGGTTTGATCAGCCATGTTGGCGTGATTGAGTAAAAAACATCCACCCTTTTTCATTTATAATATTAGTGGAGATGTAGCTTACACTGGGCTTATGCCTAACTTAAAAGGGTTAACTGGAAACCAGCAACGTTGGCGTTACAAATTTTGTGATTGAGTCTGGGCTCATTAAAGTTCCCGTTTCATGGAGCAGTTCTACGTGATTTCTCAAAAAATAAACTTTCCCTGTCATCGTCCGAGACGTTTACATTTTTACAAATTGCTACAAGAAATATAGGCGACTATGTCTATGCTGGTGCCGGGTAGTACCGAAAGCCCAGCATAAGATGAAACACGACGTTGTAAAGCATCCCAGTAGGTAAGAAAACTCCCCGCCGAGGTGACAGGTGCCCATTAATTTTTCACGTCGAGTCTGATGTCGACCTGAGCCCTACTGCTGCCGCTCTGAAGGTAATAAAAATGTGCAAAGGGCAGACTGAGAGATAAAGCCAGAGCGATAATAAGCGTGACTGGACGAAATGTGTGAAAAAAGTTGACCGTGAAATCGACGTTTTGCTTGGCCTAGTAAGAGGAAGATATAACATCAAGCAGTTTCGAAAGCTACGCCCAAATTGCAGCAGAGAGCACAAGGAACGTACTGCGTGCAGGTTCATATCATTTACGCTCTCAGTTTACTATTAGAGGGGTCACTTGGAAAAGTATGACATTACCTATTTTTATTGAATAAAATTTATAAACGTACTTGACAAATGTCTGCACAATACTTCGAATGGTAGTTAGAATTTATCATATTTGGTATTTAATAGTTCCGTCCACCCTATTTATTAAAATTAAGCAATAGATAACAAAAAATCGTTAAATATGCGAACGTGCTAACTCAGATTAATGGCAGATATTGTGCTTTGCCACCTTAGGACCATACTGTTATGTCTTATATTATTTTCTCACAAAACAAACACCATGGTACCAATCAGATGGTCTCGATGTACTGTTTCTTGCATTTTTCAAGTTTGTATAACAGTCCGTAGGTATCCTGCGACAATCGCTGTTGAGTAGGTTTTACGTCCTCTAGGTCGCGTGGTGTTTTCTTAGGCCATTGCTGGGTTTGCTCCGCGCGATCTTGGCATGGTTCAAGACTACCCAGGCTGATGTTGTAGTACACTGCGGCAAAAACATATCAATTGTCACCTGGAAGAAAGACATTGTTACTTTTTGATCTGTACTTTTAAAACCGCTGCCGATGTGGCGGAAACGGTAATGAACGAACAAGCCTACATTACATATGTGTTTCCATTTAACAACCAGTAAACATGAATAAATGTCTTTCTGCCAAACCTGTTAATTTACTAATATTTTCTATAAACGTTACGATTGCTATTTTGCCTCTGGGTTATCAAAAATTTTGAACAGTCAACAAGTCCTCATCTTCATCTTCGTAGATTTTGCAATATCTCTAATAGAAACTACTACACTGAAACGTTACTACTAATCAACGCGGTTCCTCGGAAATTTTCTCTCACAAAGAACTTCTAGCAAATCATTTCCCATATTCGGTTGTCGATATTTAACGTGGGTGTCCTGACCTGTCCCAAACAACAATTTAGTGTTCTTTTTAAGAATACCGGGTCCTAGTTGACTCACGCCACCCTAATAAAGTCATCCCATTTCAACCATGGTATACGGTAGGTAGTACCTGACTCTACCTGGTTACGTACCCTCTCGATGTGTCGCCTACAATTGCGTATTTATAGGTGTACCACTTTGACTTCAAAGTGTTGCCCGCTTCTAGCCATTAGTGTCCCAGATATTTTTTCGTTACAGGGTAATTCAACGATAAAATCAAATTTGCAACGATTACACCACATTTTCAAACTTCAGCCTCGGTTGACCAGATGTTTTCGAAACTGATAGATATCAAACTGTTGAAGATTTAGACAAAGACCAATAACTGAAGATTGAAGATAGATTGATATTATGCTATGGAGCAAGACTAATGTTTGAACGGTATTTTACAACGAAGCATGCAGCGTTCATCCGTTCGATCCAAGACCGCCAACTATGGACAGCTGTTTAGTGCTTTTTGGCAACTCATCAGCATGGTCTATGCTTGGAGTGAACGACCGAAATCATAACAACTATCTTTCATCTGAGCTATGAGATCTATCTTTGCTTGGACGAAACCGGTATATTTAGTGGTTCAAGAGGGAGTAAGCTACATATACTATACCAGCCAAATCGTCAGCCTGTTGCGGTCACCGTGGTAACTGGGCTATCAAAAGGAACTGGAATCCTCACAGCTCTACCAGATAAGGTATAGACTTTCGCAGTAGTTGATTCTTGATAGTGGCCGAAAACATCCTATACAGGGTGATTCAGAGAACAGCAAAATGATTAAGGCAAAATAGCCCTATTACGAACATATCAACGCGCCATGTTGACCAAAACTTTGTTTTAGAAAAAATAGGTAGCAGCGATAGAGCCACATTGGTTTTAAGATCTGATTAAAGATCATGATTTTATTATGGATACTGGATATTATGGATAGCTTTGAGGATCTTTCCAATAACCATCAATATTGCTTGTAGCGGAGGTTCAGTCCTTCCCCCGATAGCATTAAATATTTATAAAATATTTAAAAAATGTTTGTTAAATATTTGTAGCGACAGATTTTTTAATATTTAATAAATATGTTTCTTATATATTTATAAAATATTCATTGTAGATGTTTGTAGTATATATAATTCATATATTTTTGCGATATTTCTTCCAAATATTTAGAAAATATATGAGGAAAGGTATTTAAATATCAATTGCATATTTTGATGAAATATCTAATATTTTTCGTAGATATGTATGGATTTTCAAGCATTAATCTGATACATGTTTTCAGTGTAGATAGAAAGTTCTTCATTGGTTATTTTAGCAAAACCTGTAGGAATGCTTATATGTATAAAATTGGGTTTATAAAGATAATTAATTCTAGATATAATGGTTAAATTGTCTAGAAAAATATTATCAGAAAAACATTCTAAGCCTCTTTCTGCATCTTGCAAGTCCACACCTCTGAAAAAAACTATATAATATAAGCTGCTTTTCAGTGTATTTATTGGTGCTGAGCATGGTGAGTTACTCCGAGTAGCTCAACTGGGTCACTGAAAAGCAGCTCTATAATGCACCTAAAAGGACTCCACATGTTATGCCTATGATAGTTCGAGATTTGGTTAATTTTTAAGAAAATTTAGTATGTGATTTTTGATATCTTGATGAAAAATGTCCATGGGCACAACGTGATCCTTTGACTAACACTTATTGATTTTGTTGGAATGTGACTTTTTTTAGTAGTACACTTCAAGGCTAGTTATTTATGGTCTTATGAATACCTTTATACCCAGCTGGCACAATAATGTTTACTAGTCAGATAAATTAAGCTATGTAATTATTGAAAAACTTACCCTTTTCCCTTTTCCACAAAAAAACACTCAAATAATGAACCACTTGGAGATACACAGGAAGCACGCTATCATAGTGAAAGTCACAGGTAAAATGGCTGCCGTCTCAGGCCGACTTGCTATTATCCCATTGGTCGCTCGAGGTCACACGCACATGCGACGTAGCCGAAAATATTTAATGAATATTATCTAAATATTGGAGATTTAATATTTTCCATTGATTGAAAAGTAAATATTTAATGAATATTATAAAAGAAATATTAGTATATTACAAATATTTATTAAAGATTTGTTTAAGAAACCAAATATTTAAGTAAGATAAAAATATTATTAAATATTAAATAAGTATTTAATAAATATTTCGTGCTATCGGGGTCAGTCAGGGGTCATACTTAAATATTGAGCATTTGACTCCAATGGTCTGATGGTGTCTTTAAGGCCTGTTTGAGCAGGACCTGTCAATGTTCGGTTTGTAAAGCAAACGTGGATCGATTTCAATTCGTTCAATTTGATTTTCTACATCTGGGGCCATTTCATAAGTTACTGGTTGCAGTCTGCACCTTACTAACAGAACTGAATAGATGTTAGTCAGTTGCAATCAATGCTGTATTATCTGCAAATACTACAACTGTTACATTAGTCATTGCAGGAAGATCTGATGTGACCAGAAAATCAGAATACTCATCTTCTTGTTTAACTCAGTCCTATCTGAGATATATTACCTAGTTACCTCGACGCACCGTCCTCAAAATACAATGCTTATTTTATTAATAAGATCTTCATGAAAATCTTTGTTGAATCCCTGGACGACATCGAGAAACAGTGGATTGCTAAATTCTGTCCACTGTAAAGCCTATGGTAGAATGCTTAGTTCCTAGTTCAAACTGGTAATCTAGGATATAGGGTGACTTTGAAGTTGAGTCATTAATTTTCAGATAATAATTGTAGAAGAAAGATAAACCAAAATATGTGTGTAAAAATAAAAAAAAATAAAAAAAAATGTTACCTTATTTTATAAAGTATCCTCCCGACAAGTATTTCAGTGCGGACCGGTGCGCCCAAGAGCATGTCACAAAAACTGTTCGAAATGATTTCCGTTTTGCTCGACGCAGAGCTGGGCTTGTCGCCAAACACGAGCACATAATATTATTATTGAGACAAACTTCTAAAGGGCTATAACTTTGTTACTTTAATTTTACCAGAAAAATGTTATGGGAAAAAAACATTTCTTTTGATCAGATCTACTAACTGTTAAAATAAATGACTCAACTTCGAAGTCACCCTGTATATCTTTATATCACTGGCTAAAGTCGATTTAGTATCAGTTTTTCAAATAACTTGGACATAATGGGGGGTATGATTTGACTTCATTCATTCATTGACTGCGGAATTATGGTAGCTTCTGCGACTTTCCAGATATCGAGCATATGCTTTACACGAACTGTTACATTCAATTATGACATTGACTTAAAATTTTGTACTTAACAATACTGCAATAACAACACAGCCAATACACACAAAATTTTCCGTGCCTTATACTACACCAGAGGCGTAGAAATTGGAAAATATTTACACAAGAAGAATGGAGTCAGTTCATGAAAAATCATACAAGTTGACTCTTCTTAAAAAAAAGTAACAAAGGAATTAAATGGATCAAGTTGGTCAAATAGGTTTATTCAATTAGCTCCTACTCATTTGACAATGTTGCGATCTAGAAATTTCTACTAGCGAGCCTCCAACTGGCAGACGTGACTGCCGTATCATGATGGTGAGTCAAATATCTAGGCTAGATTAAGATGTAACTGATATTTATCACAATTGGGTTATTGTTCATATATTTACCTTCCGATCGTGTTCATATTAAAAAAATACAGAATAGATAGATATACTTGTGGTATACTTCTCTGTATAGAACCTTCAAGCTGTCGCATTATGTGTGAAAAGGGATATACTATCTTTAGACTTCGTATGCCCAAAAAAGAAAATAAAAAAAACAAGAAAATCCTTTCCCGTTGGGAATCGGACCCCGATCTACTCCGTAATAAGCAGTACCTGCAACCTCTTGGTTATTAACGGGTTGCTTGTAATTTATCTTAAGGCTGTATTTAATCAAGTGGCTTACTAAGTTCAATGAAAATCGCTTACCGTGACTTAAGTATCACTATTAGGCGGATATTTTTTGTACACTATAAATAATTTCCTTTTGTAGGCATATTTTTGATACCTTGGGAACAATTCCGTCATGTTTCAGTCAACTTACACAAAACTCTGATAAGCTATACACTTAAATCTTTCTCATATATTAAAAAAAAAGAAAAATTGCAGACTGAACAAACCGATCTTAAGTGCAGCGGCTCTTGCATATATGAATTGGTTAATAAAGGACCATTGCTTTCATTCGCTTTCTCAGAATACCCCAATCTTTTTGGCAAAAACTATCGATATTGTAAAGGTAGATAATGTAGGTAAATGTCAAGTTTTGATGGTGTTTTTGTACTTATGAGAAGTAACAGTAGATCATATTGGTTGAATCACTTATGACCTTTACACAACATGTCTGGAAATAAAGTTTAATTTTTTATTCTTGGGCTCACACGAATCTGCGCCTTAAATGGCGGTTTGTATGTGAATTTATAAACTTTACCTCCAAATGGAATCTGAGCCAATGTATGGGTCATACCTGGGATCATTGAGAAGTTCCTTTTATGATATCCAGAAACGTTTATTAGAACTTTTTTTTAACAAAATTCGGATACTTGATAGACAGCTGATATGTATGCATGTATACAATTAATTCTGTACTATGCATTGATTTAGTTCAAAGCATCGATAACCTTAGATACGATCCTGTTTTGGAATAACTGAATGAAGTTTTTATGTGAATGTTGTTTTTCGTTTGGCAACTAATCATTCCATAGGACAAAGGTGTTCGTGGAGGGGGGTCGTGACATGACGCAGGAGGAGTACAGTGTTGTCGCATTTCTGTTGTTTTATTACATCGGAATATCGTTCTTGTCCTTGGAATTGCTATGTTCTGCTTTACGAAGATTAATAATAAAAGGTAAACTTAAGATTGTGCGCCCATGTCAAGTGGGTTTTCACAGTGACAGTGACAAGCACGTTGACCAGAAAAATTTGAGATGTGACCTGAAATTAGCGTATGTTCTGAGCTTACACAAACAAACATCAGCGTACAAAGGCAGATTGGATATGTATGCGTGAGGAAGATGAATGTATAAAAGTGATGCCGGTAGTTTTAGTGTGAATCGCCAAAAACCGTGAAATGAACTATAGTGCTGCTCGTTAAACTAAGAGCGGGCAGGATTAAAATATTTCGAAGCTAAGTGTGCTAGTAAACCTGTATGTGAAATATGTCTAATAGGTTCGTAGACTTAAGGGACACAAAAAAATTTCCATGCAAATAGTTGGAGCCTCTGGAAGATCAAAAAACGAAGTTTGAGTGAAGCATATTTTTTCTTTTGTCGCCTGTACCTCCACTAGAGCTTTTTCGTCATTGGCATAAAACAGTAGTGGCTTTGTGTCAATATCTAATCAAAATCCGAGCAGTACTGTCCCAGGTTAAGAAAGGTCAAAGATTAGCGGTTCTTCGTGATCCAAAAAAACATAATATTTCATTTTCGAAATGCTTCATGGTAATCTCTTTTAAATGATCCACGAGACTACTATTCTTGGTGCAAAATGTGTTTGAATATTTGAGGTGATAGCCGTATAAGTAATTTGAACCCCTTTTCGGTTTGAACAGCCTGTATAACTTTTCTGTTATTTTTGGATGCACTTCCTACTCAAAAAATATTGCTATTGTTTTATGATCTTTACGTGATCCATGAAGTTTTCCATGTATAGTATTGTCGTTAGTAGCTACGAGATCACAGTCCTCCTTATTTTCAGACAATACATGATAATTGCCTGTATAATTATTACACCGTAAAACCTTTTTGTGACAATACTATCTCCATTATTAATTGTGGTCGTAATGTTTTATGTTGATCTTACCATTTGCGCACATAAGAAAACCATATAAATTTTGCTTATCTACCAATATGAACTTATGAAAAGGCAGGTATTCATTCGTACGGAGCTTGTAGCAATAATTTCTGTGTCGATGGAATTCCATGTATCCGTGTATAATTGCTCAATAGATAAACGCCTAAGAATAGACCCAATGAGGAAATTCGAAACTAGGAAACACGATTACAAGTACAAATAACTGTCATTGGATAAAAATGACCCATCCAGCCTTATAAGGCAACGTCCAATATTTTATTAGAAATATTTCATTTCGTCCGAGGCGCTCTTGGAGTCATGCACGTAGCATCTTGATAGTGAAGGGATACCTTTTTACATATCTCCCAACAGGGTCATTGTATGTTTGAGATATGCAGGGTCTATATTCGAACACCACAATTAGTCTGCAACCATGCATTTTTACTTCCTACTCCTCTGGGCGCGGTGGTAATGTAATCGCGAAAATTTTCGAAAATGAGATATTACGTTTTTCTGATGTTACATGACATGTACATTAAATTTTTTTTCATAAGGTATCAAATTTTGATGGCGTTTATCTACTTATTACAAGTAACAGTAGATCATAATGATTGAATTACTTATGACTTATGACATCTTGACTCCGCAAGAATCTGCTTCAATAATGGCGGGTAGTATTTGAATTTACAAATGTTACCTCCAAATGACTTCTGCGGTCATTATCTGGGTCATAACTGCGATCATTGACGAGTTGCTCTTTGTGATATCATGAAGTTTTTTTCAATAAAATACATAATTGCCGAGTATTCTGGGTGTTCGGAAATTTGATGTATGTGTATGCCTAAGTGTACCACCCATCGATCTATTTTAAAGCATCAATAACCTTAAATACAATCCTGCTTGTTATTTTTTGTTTGGCAACTAACCATTTTGCAGGACGGAGGTGTTGGCGGAAGGAGAGGGGTCGTGACATGATGCAGGAGGGGTACAGCGTTTTCGCATGTTAATGAGTTGTTTTATTACATTGGAACTTATTTGGGGCTTAGCAAAATATAATCTAGGACACTGATCATATAGTGATATATCAACTATCGCCAAAATGTTATAAGTATTGCACAACCATATCGTAAATGATGATAGATATATGACATAAAACTACGATTGTTTAGGATGACAGCCTCACCAATTGATTCAAGTTTGACTTGTAGTAAAGTAAATTGTTAATATCCATATCCAAAGGAATCATTAGGGTATCGGGACGTTTATTTCAAGATTCTCAAAAATCTACAAGAAAATTGATGGAGAATTATAATGATGTGTCGATGAAAAATGATTTTTAGACGATAAGTATTCCCATTTTCTAGAATATATAAGAATCTCTTGAACGCTGCTGAATCTTTATTGTTCCCTTGGAATTTTAATCATTTGTTTTATTGCACTCATAAAGTACTCTTATTATATTGCTCATGTCTACTTTATGGTTAGCATACAGCAAGTTAACGCTTAAAAAATTTCAATGCGCCTGGATCTTTACTTTTGAATGCACCTATGTCTTTACAATGCTTTCTAAATCTCTAGATGACCCTTCTTAACAAAGTAAAAGTACGTTTTCAATACAACAAGTAGCAAGTAAATGTGTCTCATGTTGCGCAGCCTGTGTCTACAACATATATAAATCGAAAGGCACATGGCAGTGCAGATGAGCCGCTACACGTTGCAGATGTAGCACATTTACAAAATTTCATCGGTACAAAAGTGCTGAGCATATGTTGCACAAAGTTTCTAGAAGTTTCTGAGTGATTCTGTTC